TGGGGGTGGCCTTCACAAAAGAAAGGGCAGCTTCTGAGACTTGCCCCCCACTGCTGATTTAGGGTCTGAAACTGCCTCCTGGAATCCCTGGTGCTCATTCTTGGGGTGAGTCCCTTCCCTTGCCACAGGGCATAGGGGTTTTGTGTGGTTGGTTACTTTACATCAGGGGAGTTCTAGAGGGAGAAGCACAAGTGTGGGGGGAAGGCAAGGAGGTGGAACTGGACCCTGATTTGGGGGGTGGCCTCGGGGTGGGTTTCTCAGAACCCAGACACGAGAGGCTGAGGAGATCCTTCTCTTTGAAGGTATGCGGAAATTAGGTGGGTTTTTCCAGGAGTTCTGGTCAGGCCATGAGGAGAAGGGGAAGGAAAGATCCTCAGAGGTGGGCATCTGGGGAAGGGGCAGCAAAACAGTGCCATTATCCAGGGCACGGTGGGCTCTTTTGGGATCCAGAAGCATTTTCTGCCCTGGGTTAGACCTGTCATAGCTCTTTTGGTCTCCACCATACTGAGCCTTAGAACCCCCCCTGCCACTTCCTCCTGGTGTGTGGAGACTGTGACTTTAGCCTGACCCGAATCAGGCGACTCTTCCGCCTTGCAGGATTTTTATGGAAAGGAGACAGGGTCGGGCCTTCATCACCCAGGGAGCGTATGTTGGAACTTGATTGTTGGATTTTTTGATCACTGTCAAGAAAAGTTATAAATCAACAGAAGCAAACCTCAAAAAGCAGAATCGGCTCCACAGAGAGAATGTTTCCTCAGCTCGCTAGCTTGGCACAATGTTGCCAGATGAGTTTTCGGGAAACTTCCCTTTCATCAAACCTCCCTGGTCCAGAACCTCCAATGGCTCTTTTCATCCATCTCATCAAAATTCTCCTGGTGCGGCTTTTCGGGGGCTTGGATAATGTCGCTTCGCCTCATCTTCATGATTTTATCCCGCCTGATCAGTTAGAACCCTGCCATGACTTTTGGTCTTCCTGAGCAAGGGCATTTAAACAATTCCGTGATCTGTAGTGAGGCACGGTTACCCTCCCTGTGTGCGATGGACACCAGTGTGTTTCTCTGCTCTCTTGTTCTTTTCTCTTTCATCTTAAAAAGCACAGGTTATGAAAAAAAAAAAAAAAAGCACAGGTTATGGAGCACCTGGGGGGCTCAGTTGGTTAAGCCTCAGACTCTTGATTTTGGCTTGGGTCATGACCTCAGGGTAGTGAGATCGAGCCCTGTGTTGGGCTTCCCACTTAGCGGGGAGTGTCCTTGAGAATCTCTCTCTTCCTCTGCCCCTCCCTCCCCTAAAATAAAGAAGTAAATCTTTAAAAAAAAGGGGGGGCAGGTTATGACCCACAAAATTGATTCCATGACAGACTAAGGGGTTGTGACGCACAGTTTGAAAAGTGGGACTAATTTAACACAACAGTAATCGTGGAAGGACAAGTGAACACAGGAAATAGAGCAGCTCCCAGCTCTGCTGGACAAGCTCATCAACCATACCATGAGATAAAAGTAGCAAATTAAGTCTGATTAAGAAGTTGGTTAAAAATCATTCTAGGTTAGTGGCCTCCAAACGGTTTGATTGCACCTTCCATCGGTAAAAAATGTTTACACGTGTAAGTCCCGGGTACTGTTTGTTTATTATCCTTTTTTAACTAATGTATGATATGACCACATAACACATACATCCCAAATATACATTTTAAAAGGATGAGATTGGGACACCTGGGTGGCTCAGTTAGGCATCCAGCTTTCGATTTTGGCTCTGGTCCTGATCTCAGGGTCATGAGATCGGGCCGCACATTGGGCTTTGTGCTGGGTGTGGAGTCTGCTTGGGATTCTCTCTCTCGCTCTCCCTCTGCCCCACTCCCCACATATGTTCTCTCTTCTCTCTTAGAATAAAATAAAAGGATAAGATAAAGATGAAAGAAATCCCGTTTTAAAATGACACGCTAATCATGATGGCTTCATTCTATTGTCAGCAAATATCTGAAGGCAAAATACACAGAGAGGACAGGGTTCACGGTTCTTAGCAGTGACTATAAATCTATTTTCAAATTGTTTTGATAATTTAAGCTGTTTTTCTGGCGGACTTGTCAGATTTGGAAGCCAGTTCTTTGCAACACATCTCCTTTCCTCAGCATCACCCTTCCTTTCCTGACAAACCCAGAAAAGCTCCGTTGGCACCTGGCTTTGCTACTTCCATCCACTGGAAGTCTGGAGGAGGTCATCATTGGCACTTCCCTTTCCCTCATGCCCTCGGTGGTTCATTTACCACATGCTGGGGATTTTAGCTCTCCATAGGGGGTCAGGTCCTCTCACGTTCGCCTTCCATTGCCATGTTGTACCACACGGCTTCCCTCTTCCTCCCAGGTTCTCCCACACCTGTCCACGCAAGGCTTTCTCCTCCTGCGGTGTCCCCTCTGCACCTGGCTGACACCTGCTTACCCATCAAGCCCCAGCATAAACGTCACTTCCTCATTGGGACCCTTCCCTGACCAGTGCCTGGTATCCTTCCTGAGGCACCTTAGACTTCTTTCCTGGTGCTTAGCACAACTGTAATGTTCCTTCAGTTTCTGTTTGGTTAAAGTATGTAGTCCTCCGGCGTCTGGACTCCGTTCCCCTGACAGAGACCATGGCTGCGGTGTCGCGCGTGCATGCGCACATGCGTGTGTGTGTGTGTATGTGTGTGTCCAGCACCCACTTGATGCAGTCTTAATATTTAATATTCACAACAACACTATGGTAGTTTGAAAAGGATCCCCACTTTACAGATGAGGACACTGAGAGACAAGAGAGGTAATGCCGAAGGTCAGCTGGTTCATGAATGAGGATGTTGGTCTCAAACCTGGGTCGTGCTGGTTATCATGTATACATTCTGTTCATTTATAACCTGCGTAGACTAAAGGTTGATTTTATGTCCCATCTTCCTTGCTGATGTCTGACTGGCCCTTGACAGTGATTCTTCTCTTGAACGAGCTTGATTTGTGACTAGGGTCTCTGTATAACACTATGTACCCCGTGCTGTTCTAGATAACACTGTCCTTTCCTCAGACCATTCCATGTCCCTAAATCTTATCTACCGAAGCTAGATTATAAAGCCAGACCTACACTCACTCATCCTTTCCTGGAATCTCATAATAAGTAAATAATTGTTGATTAGTGGATTATTACTAGCAGCTCGGCAAAGATTTTGTCTTCCTCCCAAGTCAAATCCAGTCTTCGCACATACCCACTCCCCAGCCAAGAGCACGACCCTGCCTTGGATTCAGAGGAGTTTCAACTGTTCTAGTTTACACTTGTTGGCCTTCTTCCTGGTGGATCTCAGCTAACTTCTGGCTGAGACCCAAGAATTTGAGGGTCTTCAATGCCATGAGTAATTTCATGAGTTGCTGATGGCTAATTAGGGATGATTACAGTTAAGAGGCTTTCCTTTCTTAATAGCCCCCAGAAAGGGCTGGTGGTAATTTTTAAAATCTTGATTATCTTTCCCTGGAAATGGAATGTTCTGATTCTCATGGCTGTCTTAAGTCCTTATAATTTATCTCCGCCTCCCCACCCCATCCTATTCTAGTAGGAAGGAAATTTGAAGTCTTGGGAAGAATGTGGAAACCAGTGATTTTGGAAAACTGGCTTTGTTGGAGAGGACCCCGGGGCATGCCTTGAAACCTTGCTTCTTCTATTTGCCTTTCCCTGAAAGGATATGCAAGAAGAGGGGAGGCTGGGCCATGAGTTTTCTGCCCAAGTTCTACTACATTCCAGCCAAGCTTCCCATCCCAGGCTTTCTGATGCTGTTTAAAATTTACCTTTGACACTGTTGGCTCATTTGACGGTGTTCAGTCTGTTTAGTAAGGGCTTCTGAGTAAAGGGGTTCTATCGTCCTGGTTTTTTTTTTTTTTTTTTTTTTTTTTTAAGATTTATTTATTTATTTGACAGAGAAAGAGATCACAAGTAGGCAGAGAGAGAGAGAGGAGGAAGCAGGCTCCCTGCTGAACAGAGAGCCCGATGTGGGACTCGATCCCAGGACCCTGAGATCACGACCTGAGCCAAAGACAGAGGCTTTACCCAGGTGCCCCTACCGTCCTGTTTTTACAGTGATCACACAGTTGAAGAGTTGCCTGACCTCTTTGTACGTCGATGTCGGCAGAGCTACTTGGGGATGGATGCCGCTTGGTGCCAGGCACTGGGCTGAGCACAGCCCGTGTGTCCACTCCCTAATTCCCCACCACCTGTGGCAGCTCTCAGGCTGCATTTTTAAAACAGTATCACAGATATAATTCACATTGCGTACCTTCACCGATTTGACGTCTAGGATTAAGTGATTGCTAATACCTTGACAGGATTGTGCGGCCATCACCACAATGTAATTGGAGAACATTTTTGTCACCCCAGGAGGATACCTTGTACCTCCCGTGAGCCCCTCCCCACCTTCCTGACCTTGGTAACCACTAATGTATTTTCTGTCTCTGTAGGTTTGTTTATTCCGAACATTTCCTATAAATGGAATCATGTAATATGTATCCTCTTGTGGCTGGCTTCTTTCACTTAAGGCAGTGTTTTCAAGGTTTGTCCCACTGTACTATGTATCGGTCCATTTCTTTTTACTGTTAGGCCGTATTTTTAGCTCTACAGTACAGTTGGGAAAACCAAGACACACAGAGGAGAGATGACTTTCCTATGGTCACAGAACCTTTCATAGAGGGAACTAGATTTCCAACACCATCTTTTGCCCAATGCTAACTCTGCTATGAGCCAGACTCTAAGATAATTGCACTAATAGTAATTTATGGAACATCTTTTATGGATCAACCCGTGTACTAAGTGTTCTATACATTTGTTACCTCCTGTGCCTATATAATCAGATTTCGATTGGGAAATCTTGTAACCACAACTGGGCAGTGACATTTTTGTTTTAATGTCTTCCATTTGCTCACTTCTGGTTTCATTGGTCCACTAAGGCTCTAGAATCTTCCTAAGCAAATGATGCTGAAAATCGTATTATTGTTCCTTCTGCAGGAGCCGGACACCACTTCCATCTGGAAAGTTAGTAACATCTCAGAGGCGCCCTTGCTTCTTCCGGGATGCCCAGCATCATGGTTTCTCATTTCATGGGGTCGTTCAGGTAAGTGGGGAACCTTTTAAAAAAGACAAGGGGAAAATAGGAAATTCGATATTTGCGTTTTACAGCGTAGTCTCTGCAGTAATTAGCCTCGCGGGTCTGCACGTCAGCGATCTCTCTGCTACACTGTGTGTGTGTGTGTGTGTGTGTGTGTGGTCAGTTTGCTCTTCATGAGGGCAGCGAGCCCTAGGGAACCGTGTGCTGTGGGGAGCGTGCTCGGACCGAGATCTAGGCGGCTTGGCTGCCACTTTGTGCTCTTTCCTGGGGGCCCTCCAGGATTAAGATTTATATTTTTGAGTAAAGATGTTCCTGGATCTGTGGGTCTGTATCCTAGCCGCGCACTAGAATTACCTGGAGAACTTCACACAGTTTGGGTCCTCTGGCTGCATCGGTACCAATTTTGACTTAATTGATCTTCTCTGCTTAAAAATGACCTCTCTGGTTCCTTCTGCTCCGAACATCTTGACCTTCACCTGCATTTTCTATTTGATCCTGATGTCAACCAGGCGAGCTAAGTAGGACGAGCAGTAGTATCATCTCCGTTTTGTGCGTAAGAAGACCGTGCTGCTAACTCCGGGATGCACGCTGCTGGAGTGTGGGGTGGGGAGGAGAGCTTGCGGCTCTGGACCTGCCGTCTTTGCTGCTGAGCCTGTTCTTCAAGCTTTTCTTTTCTTTTTTAATTAAAATTTTTTTTAAATTTTTTACATTTTATTTTTTTATTTGAGAGAACGCCAGAGAGGGCATGAGTGGGAGGGAAGGGCAGAGGGAGAGGGAGAAGCAGGCTCCCCACTGAGCAGGGAGCCTGATGCGGGACTTGATTCCAGGACTCCAGGATCATGACCTGAGCCGAAGGCAGACACTTAATGGACTGAGCCACCCAGGCGCCACCACACCTTTCTTTAAGCTGATGGACCCTTTTAAAAATTCATCAGCCTGAATGCTGTGTAAAAACTCCCTATATAAAATGGCCAACCGCAGTATTTTATTGAGATGAATTTATTTCCTAAGTTTGAATCTGTAACATTTATACCATATGAAATCAATGGGTCTGTTTTGATAAATACCAACATTTGAAATCGGGATTTATGGGTGATAGCTGGTCCATCAGCCTCAGCATCTGGTCTATTCTGCACTTGTCTTGGCTGCGTAGTATGAAGAGAATCTTAATCATCACAAGTAAACACTTGCAGTTCGTGGAGGAAGCTCGTCTTGCCATCTCAAGAGACTCTTTAAATAGACTCAGAATCAAGACAGTGGGGAAGGAAGAACTTTTTGTTTAAAAGTTGAGGCACTAAGGATATCTTGTCTTTTTTTCTTCCATAACTATACATCAGCCCCACATGCTTAGAACTTACAATTAAAAATGAAATGGTCTATAATATGTTATTATGGTGGTGCCACAGATGATGGCCCAGCTAGAGAGCTAGAGCATCTGCCAGCCAGTGCTCTTAGGCCAACGCCTCACATTTAATTGAGTGTAGTGCGTGTGTGTGTGTGTGTGTGTGTGTGTGTGAGCCTTAGTCTGTAGTTGCTTGTATAATTTTATATGAACAGACATGTGCGGGCCTGAACTCCAAAAACCCGTGCAGAGCTACAACCTTCTTCATTAATGTCATTCACAAGCATGTCACAAACACTCAGAGAAGGCAAGGAAAGCTCCATTCTGAGGCTTCTGCAAAATCCGGCTATGCATAGGGCAGCCCAGATCTGTTCAGGGTTAGACGTTAGCAACTCATCTAAATCAGTATGTTGGTATTTTTAAACCATAGTTTGAAAGTAGTTTATTTCTTTATTTTTAATTATTTATTCGACAGAGAGATAGAGAGCACAAGTAGGCAGAATGGCAGGCAGAGGGAGAGGGAGAAGCAGATTCCTTGCTGAGCAGGGAGCCTGATGTGGGACTCGATCTGAGGATCCTGGGATCATGACCTGAGCCGAAAGCAGACGCTTAATGCACTGAGCCACCCAGGCGCCCCTGAAAAGTAGTTTAAAGGGTATTTCAAGACACGAGCTATGCATCCTGTTTGTAGAAGCTCTAATGGCCCCCTGTCTACGCACAGGGCAGTGAGCGATGCCATTGGGTCACTGGGTCAGCTCATGACCACAGCATGTGTGAGTGCCAGGACCCAATGGGGGACAGAGAAGTGGTCACAGTCATATACGGAACCGGTTTGAAAAGAGCAGCGGGTGACCAAAGCTGGGTTCACCATGTGGGAAGCAGGTGTAAGTCTGGCCACCATCAGAAAGGCCCCGACAAGTACTGAGGATCCTCCAAAATGTGGCCACCGAGGCACACAAGGAAGGCCATTGCTTGGGAGAACTCCCTTCTGCAAAGTTTTTTTTCTTGATGGAATTTCATAATTTTAACTGATGCCCCTGCAAAAACAATGGACCTCTTGTAATGACCTGATTGGTGGTTGGAGCCCGTCTCTCTTCAAGGGGTGCCTGGGGGACTCCCCTCCGGACTGTTCATTCTCTCGGAGAAATTGCCCACAGGTTAGAAGTGAGCAGGGTAGGAGTCGTTGAAAGCTAAATGTGGTCTTGTTACCCTTGGGATGGAACTCCGAAAGTCTTACCACGCCCCCAGCGTTAGGGTCCTTCCGAAGGGGTTGTTTGAACAGGGTGACTTAGCAGGACGTTTCTTTAAGAGTTCTGCTGTAAGGAGAGAGCATATTGTGAGCTCTGAGGTTGGATGATTCTTTGCAAGAGTTCAGCGAGAGCTTTCCATGAGGTCTCCTTCTTAAGCCTTTTTGCATTGTTTCTAAGGCCTTGTAAATCTATTTTAATCTGAAAAACAAAACAGAACTAGAGTGACGTTTGCATAAATGCTTTAAAAAATGTTCTTGGGCAAAGGGCTGTGTTTACTTTAAGAGTGAGTTGTCTTTGATAACACTGATAGATGATCCAACATGAACACGCACAGATGTTAAGGGCTTGTTCATTTTGATGAAGGCAACTGAGTACATAAAGATCGATTGGACAAGCTGGAGGACTTGTCTACCTAAAGAGGAAACAGGTCACAATAAGAAGTTCCCTGCCAAGAAAATCCCTGAGAGGAAAGACCCTTTAAGGGGATTCACTGTTCTGATAGGCAGAGATCTGGTTTTAAAAATCCCTCCCCAGTTTTTGCCAAGCCACAAAGAAACAGCCAGCCAGCATCTCCCTCATTGAAAAAGACAGAGAAACCCTGAGTATTAACATGGTAAGGGTGTCTCTGGCCTGCTCAGAGTCTGCAGTCATAAAAAGAATCACTGTTAAACCCAGGGGCAGAAAAAAACACTAAAACCTTAACTCTTGCTAGAGCTTGTTAGTGAGCGGTCATTGAACGTGAGACGAGCCTGGATGCCATGTCAAATTCAGGGCAAGGAAAATCCATTTAGGCCAAAGGGTTGGTCATGGCCATATTAGGGGGTCTTTGTCACCTGTTACGACTTAATGAAGAAGAGATACTAAGTGAAACAGAAGTACACACATTTCTTAAAGTCTTGCTCCAAATGATGCACCTTAAAAATATATGTAATATGTGTATGTTACAACTTTATGTGTTTGTGTAGTGATTGACTGGAAGCAAACACAGTTTTCTGTAGAGTGAGTATGAGTACAAGTGGGGAGGACCACCTACCATGGCCAGCCAAGAGGACTCTCTCTCCAGCCGGTCTGCTTGGTCAGGGGCTCATTCCGTCCCTCGCAGCATGCTTTAGTATTAAGTCAACGGCGCCGATTTTTGAAATGAAAACACAGAGGAAAACAAAACAGTTGAAAATGCCAGACAAGTGGTTAAGTTGGCAGGAACAACATTTACTTGGTGATCCTTATTTTGAATAGTAGGTTTTGAAGAAATACAGATGTAATTAGAGAGATTACAGAGGTAGATGGTGATTTTTATCGATCTTATGAAGTAGGGTTCTGGATCGTTTTAAGGGGTTTACAGGTTGATGGCCCTAGGTCAAGTGTCTGGTTTTAGTCTTCTGAAATGTAAAGCTTTTCTTTGCCATGATATACAGTTCAGCAAAGTAATATTACTGTAATGCCTGTCAGCTACTTCACTTAGAAATACAACCAGAAGGAACTGAGGAAATGAGAAAGAGAAAGGTGGCCATTCTGGGGGAACTGAAAAAGATTCTGAAGACAGAAAGGAAATAAGAAGTGGGTTGAGAAGACGTGTTTGTGTGAGAATGCCCCAAATAGTGATGCTTGAGGTAGGATGGATCAGTGAAAATGGAGACTCCCCTCAGGGATTGAGAGATCTATGGTCATTGGGAAGGATTGTGGGTTCAGTCTGTGTCCCCATGCCAGTGACCAAGAAACGGGGCAGAGAAGGGGAAAATAGGGGAAGGAAGAAGACAAGAAAGAGGAGGAAGGAGGAGAAAGAGGAAGGAAAAGTGGAAGGGAGAGGGAGGGTGGAAGAGGGAAGGGGGAGGGGAGGAAGGAGAGGGTGGAGGGTGGGAGGAGGAAGGGGGAAGGGGAGGAAGGAGGGAGTGGAGGGTGGGAGGGGGAAGTGGGAGAAAGGTGGGGGAGGTGGGAGAAAGGTGGAGGAGGAGGAGGGTAAGGGAGGTGGAAGGAGGAGGAGGAGAAAAAAGAGAAGGGCCCAGGTTTGATGATCAGTATTAAACAGCATGGTGTTAATAAGGCAGGAGAGACTTTGGGTAAGCCTTCATCTAAACCACTACCCAGTTGATGCTTGATAAATATTTGTTGAATATTGAATGAATAAGTTAATAATTATCTTTTGTGTAAAAGAAAGAACATTTTTCTTTCCTGATGAGGATTGTTAATTACAAAAGCAGGTTAAAGCAGAAAGTCATACAAATGATACACGCACACACCTTTAACAGTTTATTTTTAACTTAAAACACATGTATGTTCACTCACTATGTTTTGATGTGGGGCCAAGGACTTTTCTTGGAGCTGGAGCCCCTGATTGTCCGTCGTGCGCAGACCACACCCGTAAGCATCATCTAGGGTTTCCATTTGGGTTTCTTTAACGTGGAGTGAGAATTTAA